AAATATAAAAGAATAGTTTTTTTATTAAGTGTTGAATAAAGGTAAGAAATTTGAGAAGTTTACATATATAATTTTATTTTTAAAAAATTAAATTGATTGGTATTTTTAAATTAAATCATGCAAACGAGAAAGTATTTCAATGTTCTTGTCTGTAGAATTAATTTATTCTATTAAGATCTTCATTCAATTATTTTTTTGTACTCAAATTTTCAATCTTCCACAGTAATGCTTAAATATTATCCTTCTTCTATTAGCAGAATGTATAATATAAATGACAAAGTGCGTTAGATTATAATGAATGTTTTAATAATGAATGTAATTAATGTTCTATAGAACGTGTTGTTTATATTATTAGACCTTTACTTGGATGGTCCAATAATCTTGTTTTAATCTTTTGTTAATCTTGTTTTAATTACTTGTATCTTAGACATATATAATTCTTATAACTTAGATGGTTGATGTGTTTCACCACTGTGTAGTACCACTAGACCTAGACTTAAAATGCCATGTTGAAATCTTCTAGGCTATTATCATAATGTCAATTTTTGGCTGATTGCTATGTGCAAAGAAAATTAATATTTTATTGGTTATCTAATCTTATAAGTATAGTAGCCTTTCAATTTGACTAAACGGTTGTTAGTCATGCAGGAAATAATATGACATTGGAAGGGTAAAAAGGTGTAATCTTTGAGTGTTAGATTTGGGAAGATTTGACAGTTGGGATGAAAGAGGTGGAAGATGAAAGGTTACTATGAATGTTGTATATAACATACATTTGTCTCACTGATCACTTAAGTTAGCATCCTTTCTATACTGTCAATATACCACTTCAAAGTCTATAGTTTGTAGTGTCAACTAGAATCATGTATGTCGTTATAGTAGTTCTAATATGCTGTTAGGAACAATCCAGAGTTGAGTAATAGTAGTTTGAATTTTAATTGTTCTTAACGGTTGTCCATAAGTATATTAATTACCTTGTTAATCTTACTTGTAAAATCCAAAGAAAAAATATAATGATAAAAAAATAATAATATAGTAAATTAATTTATGTATTTTATTTTATGGTTTTGTGTTATAACGGTAGATGGATAAATAAATTTATTTATAATTTTATTTATATATTGGGACTAGTACTCACTCGATTTGACTTGGGCCTGAACAAACTTAGTCGACACCAAACTGACCTGGTCTTGGTTTAACTAGGTTGAACGTAGACTTGAGAGATCTAGGATGATTGGGCCTAGCCTAATTAGGCTTTATTAGGACCCCAAGCATCCTAGGCTTAAGTTGGACCTAGATCGACTTGACTCAACCTTGACTCAGATCGATTTGGCTTGACTCTAAGTATGGAAGACTCGACCTAACCTTAAATGAGCCTAGTTCGGGTTAAAGTCCTTGAATTAGCTAGATTTAACATTTTTATAACTTGAAACATAATCACATTTACTAAAATTAAGAAAAATCCAAATAAAATAATTTTGACTAAATAATATCAATCAAATTATACAAAAATTAATTATTTGATATTGAAGTATTCTTTGAATTTAATGGTAATTTAAAATATTTTTCTAAGTAACATATTTAAATTCACTAAATTTAAATTACCTTGTTCAAATAAAATATTTAAAAAATAAAATAATTTAAAATGAGATTCAATTCAAAGTCAAAAACATTGAATGTTTTAAAAATTATGAAATTTAATAATATTTCTATTATTCATGTTCACACCCACATCAGGGTAACATTTATGATAAAAAACTCCATTGAGGTACTAAATTTAAATAAGAAAAAAAAATGAACTTAACTTGGTGTTTAAATAAAATAATAATATAGTTCTATTGGTATTATAATAGGTGTAGAATAAAAAAAGTTAAATTTCTATAAATCATCACCCTTTTCGAAAAGTGTAAAAAGATTTCAAAAGGTTATTTTTCCTCATACATATGTAATAGGGAGGTGCAAGAAAAAACTACCAAAGGGTGTAACAACCAATTATATAAAAGGAGCATGTTTACTTTACTTTGCCCATGAAGGTTCACCCCTACTTTTTACTTTTTACTTTGAAAATATTATGAAGAAAAAAAAAGTTAAATATGGTGGCTTTACACCCAGTATTTCATTTAAAAACTGGAGGCTATGCAGGCCTAAGAAAAGTTTGCGATCACAAAAGAAGGCCCATCATGATTGATGATGAACAAAAAATGGTGTTGCAAATGATTAATTATTTTTTCTTGAATAAGTGAAAAGAATGTATGGTGTGAAATGAAGTGTTTGGGCATTCTTTTGACATGAGTCAAAAAAGCATATATTCCATTGGTTGTGTTACCTAAAAGAAGATACCTCTATTGGTTTGGTATAGAGATCTTTTCATGTAAAAAGTAGGGCCTTAAAACAAGGCTTTTAGGACAGATACAAACTTTGGTTAAGTAAACAAGATAAATGGCACCAAGAAAGATGGGAAAAAGTGATAAAGTAAAAGCACTTGCAAAAAAGGACCTTCAGTCTTTGCCTGGTTACAACTGCACTTCAAACCATTTTCAATTATGACTTGCTCCTTCCTACACAAATCAAATTCAAAGGTAGTGTCCCCAAAAGAAAAAGGATAATGACTTCACCAGCGTAAAAGACACTTCTTTTACATGATCAAATTTCACATACTATAATATAATTTCATCACTTTTCCACCTTAGTAGATAGTGCTTTCCGAGGAAATAATTTCAACTCACCACTGCTCTTTTCTTAAATTGACAAAAGGAATCAAATTCATACCCTTTAATCATTCTGCTTCACTCAGAATTTATTCATTATCTCAAACCATTGGACATGGACTGCATAACTTCACAACATTCTGTAAGTTCCATATACACTGCCTTAAATGAGAAGGGTTGCAGGAAGTAATCACTATCAATTTGTTGTTTATTGTGGCAAAGGCAAAACCATCATTATCAGTGAATATATTTCAATATAGATTAAGTACACCATTGAAAGTTACACAATAATGCTATCTGCAAATTAGATTTCTGCAAGTGAAACAAAAGCCAGTAATATGTACTAGCTTATTTGACCAAAAGAATAGCAATTGGAAGAAACTTGAAACTAGAAAATCACTATATGCTCTCCTGAAATGCATGAGCACGAGAAATAGCTGCTGGATTGGCTTCCAAGATTTGAGAGGCACCCAACACACGATCTTTGCCTTCTTTTGGTTCAATTTTCTTCTGTTGATCAGGCTTGATGCTTAATGCAGCCCTTATAGGACATTTTGAGGCCTCGTTAGAGGCATCGGTTCTGATGGTCTTTGGAACCAAAACACACTTCTCTGATTTCTCTTCATCAGCAAAAACAGTGTCTCTTGCATGTTTTCCAAGGGTTGGGGAGCCATTGCCTGAGCAGCAACTGTTACTGGTGGAGGACGATGGCGAAAGACAAGCATTGGATCCTATGGACACTGACCCAGTTCCAGCATTCCAATGAGGTGTTCCACTCCAGCATGATGGTGGAACAACCTGAAAAGGAATGCTGGGTGGACACATGCCAGGAATTGCCACCATTGCTGTGGGACACCATTGCATTGCTGCAGGACCAGTGTTGTATGGACTACACATTGGTGCTGAAGACTGATGAACTGCTTCCACGGAACTCACATTATTCCAACCCGGATAAGTTAACACCCATGGAGGAACAGGGTAGCATTGTAACCAATTTGATGTCTTGTGTTCTGATAATTCATTTCCCTGAGTACTGTTGTTCGTCACAGAAGACCCACATAAAGATGGTTCCCCAACATACTCTGCACGGTTTATAGAACTTGCATCAACACATCTTCTCTCGTCTCTAAGATTAAGCATTGAATCCATTGATTCACAAAGAGTGGTATCTGGCCCAAATTTCAAAACAGTGCTGCTATCTGCTGAAGACCTGAAAGGAACCGAGGATTCAAGATTTGTGACATGTTGGAAACCAGATGCTTCCTCAGTTTCTAGTCTGGAGGCAGGAATTCCATTAGAGGATACTATAATGTGTCGGTATTGAGAAGCTAGGTGTTTGTTCTTCCGTCTCCCAGCACCTATGGGAACATTTCTCATTGTTCCACCAGCAGTCCAATACCTTTGACAGTTCTTGCAGAAATGCCTAGGTTGGTTAACGTTGTAGTTGTTAAAATAACAAAACTTGGTGTCCAAACTGTTACATCGTGGACACCGAAGAATCTTGTCTGGTTTCTTTAAGACTTTATCTTGGTCTGAGCCACCATTCTCCGTGTTATCTTCCGCGGGTTTGGGATTTACTATTGGCTCATTTTCCTGCACTTTATGCTCTAACTCTTGTTTACTATCTCTTGAATCAGATGATTTTTCTTGTTTTTCAGAGTTTTCTCCACATTCACTGGGTCTTCCCAGTTCCTCCTCCTTTTTTATGCTGCTCAAAGCATCCTAAAAATTTAAACCAGTCAGACAAATCGAGCAAAAAGATACAAAATGATCATGTTATACCCATTTTCCATCAAATACTACAAAAGACCACATAGCAGACACGAAAATCTTCTTTGATACCTCAACTTAACATGCATCTGTCATGATCTTTTAGTTCTTTTGGTGGATAACCATGGTCTGTTCTATATACTAACTGTCTCGAATCCAGTTTATTCCATGCAATATCAGCGTAACCATTCAAATGAATTCATGTACTTAAACAACTAGACAAAAGGTTTTCACTATTTAAGTATAAAGGTTTCAAAGCAATTACTGTACATAAATACCAAAAGAAACCGCCAGAAAGAACACCAAGAAAGTTAGTGTAGAAAATGCCTTCAATACTAAGAAGCTAACCAAATTCTTTGTTACAAATCAAGCTAAGAGATACATAAGATACCACAAGATCTAATCTAGTGAAAATAATCAGTTACAAGATGCTTTTGTTTTTCAGATGAAGCAGACAACCTCTTCACACCAACAACAACGAAACCATAAGCTAAAGATGCTCCAATTCAAAATGAAACAATTTCAAAGCTGCGTTTGATAGGAATAATAACTTGCTTCCTCTTGACAGCGCCTTAATTTGTGTAAACAAATCAAATCTCTGAACCTTAAACACACAATATACTATTTCTGAATTCAGCCAAACTAAAGTTTTCATTTGTTAAGATACAACGCCACCCTTCAAATTCCACCAGGTTTTGAAGCTTGAAATGAACTATCATGACAGACCAGAAAATAACTAAGAATATTAAGAACATCACGAAGACACAACAAACATAAAACGAAAAACAAAATCCAATTTTACGACCAACCCATTTATACAGACAAGGAATAAAAACACAAAATACACGATTGAAGAAGAAATGAACTCAAACAGTTATCTTCGGCTACAGTAAAGAAGCAAGTACCGTGGGTCCAGAGTTGGCCGGAATCTGACATTCCGGCACCGGAATCTTCCTGCCAAATAGCCTGATACCCGGATCCTTCTCTGTCTGAGACATGTTGATGGTGATTGTGTTGCACACTTTGAAACTAAGCTCCTCCAACACCCATTACATAGAAGGAAGCAGAGGAAAAAAGAAAATCAAATATTTTACAAAGAGAAAAAGAAAAATAAACAAAAAAGTGGCTTTCTTTCTCTTTCCGAATTTGTTTCCACACAAGACAACTTTTCAAGTGTAGACAGACATCACACTTGCACTAAAATCCCTCTGGAGAAAAAGTCTCACCCTGCAAAAAGCACAAACAACGTGAGGCATCAAAGACACACTATTCTACAGTACCATCTCTTATGTTTTTTCATTAAAATTAAAAGAAAAAAACACCTTTCTCTCTTCCCTTTCTCTTTTTTTCTAATACAAAGTCTTTTTCTTTTAAAAAAGATTACCTTTTTTTAAATTTTGAAAAAAGTGTCGCCTTTTCTCTTTGCTTCTCGTTTGGGTTCAAACATGTGACCCTACTCCACACAATATAAAATGCTTCTGGTATCACTTGGTTTCTTGTTTTCCTCATTGTAAGAATTTAGTATGTTTATTTTATTTACTTTCAACAAAAAAAAAATTCTTCAATTATTATTTATTCCTTGATATTTGAATACATAAATAACAATCAATGCTAACCGACTACAACCATTATCATCTCCTAAATGATCTTGAACCTTGATAAATACAATAATTATTTTACTTTCAACAAATATTATTTAAATAAAAGTGTACACAGGGTGTCTTCGAACCAGAGATACCCAGTAAATATTTAAGACTTTAAAAGGTATTTACTAAATTAACATCATGAAAAGTTAATGTCTTTTTAAGTATGGTTGGTTGAAATGGTTAGTTGTATGATTATTATAAGAAAGCTTAAGAAGGGTATGGAGTCTTTTTATAAAATGTGTATTTTTTATTTGCTTCCATGGATGAAAAATGGGTGCATTGAGGAGTGTGTTATTGAGCATAACATGGGTGGAAGCATTGGTAAAAATGGGTGGAAGAAGAGGGGAAAGGGGGTGGAGACAGGTGGCAGATGAGTAAGGAGAAGGTGGAAATGATGGCGAAGAATGGAATGGGAAAAGGTGAGGATGACTTGAGAAAGAGAAAGAGAAAAAGGAAAAGAGAAAAAGTGATGGCTTTCATTTGGCAAGTTCAAAGCAAATGGGTACGATCTTTTCACGCCGCCTTCAACGTTTATGGCTTTTTCCCACCTCTCACTGCTACTATTATCATACCATGCCAATACATCGCATTCTCATCATGTGAGATTATGCATATCAAAATCTTTTTATTTTTCTTATTATTATATTTTCTTTTCTTCACATCTTCTAGTAGTTTTTGAATAACTATTGTTGTGTTGGAAATTATTAGGATTAAAGTAAGAGTATTTAAATGTAGGTGGTTTTTATAAGATATTTTTAATTAATTCTTGTAATTGGAGTTGGTGAATGTGGACGTCCGTTACATAGAATTAAAATAAAAATTAAAAAATATAAATTAATTTATAATTTTAAATATTTTAAATATAAATATTTAATTTATAATTTTTTATAATAACTAAAAGAAAATTTTAAGGATTAATTTATTTATTATAAATAATTAAGGAAATATATAATTTATTGCGAAAATATATTAAAATAGATCATAAAATTAAATTAAATTTGTATCAATAATAATATAATATTGATAAAATAATGTATAAAATATTTAGTTATATTTATATAATAAAAAATATTTTAAAAAATAAATAAGGAGCTAAAAGACAGACAAGCTGGCTTATGCCGACTTATGCATGCTAGTGCATTTAAATGACTAATCCCAGATTATCATCTCTATTTAAATGAGTAATTAATATGTAATTAGAACTCAAGTTTTTGTGATAATCAGAAAGGAATTTGAAGGAAGGTTTGGATATATAAGAAATAAGAAAAAAAATAAAAGAGTAGAATTAATAAAAGAGAAGATAAAAAAAAATCTAGAGATAAAAAAAAGAAATTAGAGGCTTCATATATTCATCATAATACTTGAAACATTTGTGATGTTTTTTTAATTTTCTTTCTTTATAAGATATAAAACATATTGAAATTTTAATATATAAATTGAGTTTTGAAATTGGTTTAATACTACTTTTTAATCTTTTTATTAATTTAATGTGAAAATAAATTTGTGAAAACCTAGAAAATAAAGTATTAGAGTTTATAAGTGTTTCAAAAATATTGAGACCGAGTATTTTAAAATTTAAAATAATTCATTTATATAAATAGAATTTCTCAAACTCGTCTCATTACTTAAAACACAAATCATCTTTTTAAAACTATTTCTCTCAGTTCTTTCTATCTTCTCTCTAGATTATCTTAGTCCTTGATCATCTATTTGACGATCAGGATGTTCCTATGAGATCACAACAAATAATCTTTAATTCTAACTGATCAGTTCTTGGTTTAGAACAAGTATGTTTCTACCTCTTTTTCTTTCGTTTTCTTTTCATGATCATGATTAAGAAACCCCGACACATGTATCATTGGTGTTCCTTTCTTGGTTCTTTGTCAATTTGTGGTCTTAAGGATTCTTTCCTATCACAATTTGGTGATTCATAAGTGTTTCTAGAGTTCCTTGTATGGGAAGCAAAGCGTATTTGTTCTTAAAGTTTAGTGGGATCGGTGTAAAGTAAAGGAAACTAGTGTTTGTTTTTAAATTAGATTATAATATATAAAATTGGAATTGTGAGTATGTTGTTATATATATATATATATATATATATGTATGTATATATATATATATGTATGTATATATATATATATATATGTATGTATATATATATATATATATGTATGTATATATATATATATGTATGTATGTATGAAATGCTTGTTTTTGTGCTAATTATAATTGATGTGAAAATAATAAACTGAATGATGCTTAATTCTTTGTATAATATTGTGTGAGATCTAGTGAAGGTAATTGGTATGATGATAATGGTGTGATCCTTGGTTATATGTTAAGAGAAAAGAGCATAAGTAAAATTATAAGTCCATTGATAGTATAAAACTTGTGATATGTTGAGATATGAATTGTTGAAATACTGGTCTAAGATAAAGATTTAAGTTTTAGAACACTTAATTGGATCTTTTGTGTTTGGATTAGAATGAGAATTAGTTAATAAATGGTCTATAGTGGAATGATGGTCATTATGGAAGGATTACCAAGTTGTTTAGATGTTATCTTAGTGGTTTCAATAGGTGGAATTATGAGAAAAGGATTGGTTGGGTAAAATAGAAGTTTGGGAAGTGTTTTGAAGTCATTTAAGACTTGTTAGAGCTTTAAACCAGTAAAAATCTAATGTATAATGTAGCAGAGGATTTGTGAGGGTGTATTTGCACGGTTTTTAGTATAAATGAGGAGGTTTTGGGTAGTGACTTTCTAAGGGAGAGTATCTGGGTTGAATTAGAGGGTTTGGGTGAGTTGTTAAGTCTATTCAAACTAGTGTAGACCCCTAACCTTCAAAGTTTTGGAGTATAAGAAGTATAATTGAGTTTAAGTGACTTAAAGAAGTATATTTGGTTTGGAGTGGTCATTTTGAGTTAGAGTGGTGTTTTATGAGTTTCTCTACGTTTAGAGGTTCCTAAGAATCAATTAAAGTTATGGCTAAAGTGTTCAAAGTCATAAAAATTTATTTGGCCGTAGTTTCTTGTTTTACTCGATTATGACAATAACATAATAGATTAAAACAAAAACTGCAATCTAATAGATTATGTTAATAACATGATAGATTAAAACATAAACTACAATATAATAGATTATGTTAATAACATAATAGAATAAAACAGAAACTATAGTCTAATAGATTATGTTAATAACATAATAGATTAAAATAGGTAGTTTTGTCCTATTTTTCCTTATATGAATTCTGACTTGCCTTAATAGATTATATTACCAATCTAATCGATTAATACCACCAGAAATGTGCATTTTTTTTATCAATCTAAACCAAATTCACTTATATACATATAAGCTAGGTATTTCATTGTTCTCTTATGATCTTAAGAAATCTTAATATCAATTTTCATTGTGAAATAGAAAATCAATTTTATTATCAACTACTTGGTGATGCTTGATGGGATTGTTTATGGTTTTATGATGAATGATTTGAAGTTTAATGTGATAGTAGACAATGTGTGTGTGAAGTATATGTATATATAATTATGAGATGGTTATGATGATGAGGAATATGTGAATAGTTATGTAAATGGTATTGATGGACGTAATTTCATGATCCTCATGGAGAGGATACATGGTGGTGCCCTGTATTATTGTTGATATGAATGGCCAGAGTTACGGTAGAGGTTTATCTTGACACTCTCAATAACCCCAATTCAAGTAGAGATGAATGGTTATGTCATGGAGAGTAACATGAGGTCTTAGCTTGAGGAGTCTTTCTTCATTTGGTAAAAGGGCGTTTAAGAACTAACCTTGTGTGTGGTAGGGTGAAACCCATTGGCAAGGGCTCTACAGGGTAGTAGAGCCCACCACAAGTGTAGAACCACCATAGCTCGACATTCATACCATATCCAGATGAGTCAAGTCTAATGTCATGAAATGATTATTATTTGTGTGATATAAGGTTTAATGGAATTTTATTGTATTATGATGAGCTTTTTTAGCACTAACTTACCCTTGCTTTTGTGTTGTCTGTCTATATGTTATTTTCTCTTTTGCAATAATCACCTAAATGGTGTGAGCTTATGATGACATCATTTCAGTGTTTTCTGCGAGAAGTGAGGGTGAAGCAGATAGGTTGTTAGATGATTCTATAGAGGTAGATTTCTCTCGTTTTTAATAAGTTTGTTTTCATCTAGTGGTTTTATTATCATATATGTAACATTTTAAATTTTAGTAGTTTTATACTATTTAAATGGGATGTTACAAAATTTGGTTTGCATAATTTTAATTGTTTTATTTTAGTTTATAAATTAAATGATATATAGATTAGTGAAAAAAAAATTCACTAGTACAAAAACAGCGTATAACGTTACGCGTTTAATGTCCAACCACTGAATAACCAACGTTAAAAATGAGCGGTGACATTTTTGTAAATAAATGCAATTATTAAACGTCGTCAAAAGGTTAGTGAATTCAATAAAAATTTGAGTGGGAGATTGAAAATTCATTCACTTTATCTTAGCACTCTATACCCTCTTCTCTTCTCAAACTTTTCTCGAACGAAGTTTGACGAGCATCACATGTAATCTTTCTTTCATTTGATACAAATGCATTTTTATTAATTACTTTATGTATGATTTTTGTTTGTTTTAACCGATTATTTTTGTCCTCTTGTCCTTCATAGGCGCATTCTGTTTTCTCTCTCACTGGT